CTTGCAGAGCGCATCATCGACAGCGAGGATCGATTGATCAACACAGTGGCACATGAGTACTGCCATCTGGCGAACTACATGATTTCAAACATCCACAACAATCCCCATGGGGCAAGCTTTAAGCTATGGGGTCGCAAATGCAAAGAATCCTTGAAAGATCATCCTGTGTACGGCGGAAGAGTTGAAGTGACGACGAAGCACAGCTACCAGATAGATTACAAATATATCTGGAGCTGCGTTGATTGTGGTCAGAACTATGGCCGGCATTCCAAGAGCATTGACACAGCCAAATCTCGCTGTGGTGCGTGCAAAGGCCTTTTGCAGCAAATCAAGCCGAAGCCGAGAAACGTCTCACCCAGAAAAAAGCAACCAACTCCTCCGTCAGAGCGGTGCGAAAAGAAATCAGTGGAGGATATGGCGAAAGTGTTTGGCGAAGTCAGCTTGCATAGTTAGAGAACAGAAGTGAAGGTTTGACTAGCCTGCTGTCTATCCCTCTGGAAACGTTTGTCTCTCCTTCAAAGTTACAGGATCTAGTCATTTTTCTGGCATATACAGCGCTCCTTATGATGACCTGATGAAATTTTCTCATAACTACTTTGATGTCTCTCTTCTTCTTACTTCCAGGAGTCCATCAACAATCTCTTGAAAACCGATAAAAGCAAGCGACCTTATTTCGATGGTGATAATGTAGAGGCAGCATCTGACACTATACATACAAAACATCATTCCATATATATCTCAAATGAGCGGGCCTGGAGACCGTGAGGGAGGAAGAAAGGAGAGCGTTCGAGGGGATGCTTCGGTCGATGTTGGCCTTCCGGCCAGAGGAAAGGGCAACAGCACAACAGGTACTGCACTCAGAATGGATGAAGGGCTGGGGACTACCGGCTCTGGAACAGAGTTGGAGTACCATTGATTCGTAGGAAAGCTAAACAAAAAGTACAAGGCTGAGTCCTGAACCAGCATTAGAAAAGAGGAAACATCTGCCCGTAAATTAGAGTATATTGATATTCTATAACCATTCTTGCTCTAGACAAATTGTTCTTAGTAATAGGGTTCCTGAAGCAATCAAAGAGTGTAGGCAATGACACCAGTTTCCAGACTGTAATCGTTTCCCCAGCTCTTCTGCACCAATGACCAGTCCCTACTCATCCCATCCAAGTCCCTAAGCGAACAATCCCCAGTCCTTAACCTCTAAAGTCTGCAGCAACCGATCAATAGCCTCGGTAGCCACTTCCTCCTCCTTCGACAAACCCCGCGGATCCCCAGACGAATCAAACTCATCATGCGGCACGTTAAAGAAAACGAGCAGATCCGACTCCTGCGCCTCCAGCCGCACAAGCAGGTAATGCACCGTCACGCGCGACGTCTGCGGCCCATCCGCACTAGATCCCGCCGCCGCACCCCCGACCGAAACAGGAATCCTCCCCGTATTGGTATCCCTCCGCTGCCGCTTCAGCGTCGTCATCTGCACTACACCCTTGTACGCATGTGCGCGCGCAGAGGCAGGTATCTTGGCTAGGGTTACCGCCGTTGCGGGGATGATCACCTGCATCGTGTCGTCTTCGTCGCACAAGTCGCGGAGGTGGTACATGACGGCTGCTTTGTCGATTGTCTCGTGGGTGGCGGGGATGCCGCCGCGGACGGCGGCCTGCGCGTCCAGCGTTGATAGGGCCTGCTCTTGCGTGACGCGCTGGTTGACTTCGACGATGAAGCTGGAGAGAGTGGTGGGGGAGAGGAAGAGTTCTTGGTGATCTGGGATCTCACGGAGGGAGCTGGTTGCACTAAATGTTAACTTGGGTGTCTTTTGAAGAGCAGAAATGTGTGATATACTATACTGACCTTCCGTCTACCCAGCCTTCGGGGATGATGCCCTGAATCGCGCCGCCGTAGAAAGCCTGCTCAGTAAAGGTAGCCATATCGTCTTGTTTGCACGTAATGATTTTCTTTCTTCAACGCGGGGAAGCTGTCGGAGATAATCGAAGATCGGGGGCCAACGCAATATTCAAAGGGCGAGGCGAAGGTGATCTGGGTGAGCTCAGTTAGCCAAGATAAGCGTATTGGAAGCTACCTCAGAGCTATTTATCATCCCATTTCTCAGTGTTTCTGTTGTTTCGATACTGTTGACTGCGGTGGACGGTCTTCCGCCGCAGAAATGACGTCCGCCTTCAGTCGTGACTGGAGGGGTCCCCGTTCGTCTGATTGGTCGGATTTGACTTCTATGAGTGCTTGAACTGCGGGATCAGTGTTTACAAATGCTTAGTGGAGGACAGTATCCCTAAAGCACAAGCTGGAGCCTAAATGGTAGTAGATGCCTACCTTGCTATTTTGCGCAAGATCAACTGTAGAAAGACGGTCGTCGGTCCTCCGGTTGCAGCCTCCAAGATCGCGGATTGCTTGGCGTTGAGGGTAGTTCTCTACAAGATAGAAGAAAAATGCACGGGGATAGCCCATACAAATATCATTGTTCTTCACATGTCTAACAGCTCTTCACTGAACTCATCCAATGGAATAAACCTAAATTGCTTCCCCCACTTCGCGCGAAATTCCTTTCGACGATAGGCGAAGCTCGTCACTTGCGAGAAACTCACAAGTTCGATGTTCCATCCTCGCTGCAGTGCTCGCTCCACCATCTTCATAAAGCCTCCTGAAAACTCAGCTTCCGCTGCGTCCCCTGTGGCTAGAACAATAGTCGCCGGTTCATCGGTATCCACCAGACTCTCTAGGATCTTCAGGTGCAGAATTTCGTCCACTCCCTGTTCAACCCATCGCTCCTCCGGCGCATCGTTCGTTTCAGAACCGCTGCCTCCTTCCTGAGAGCTGACTCGGGGATTCTTCCGATGCTTCAACTGACGACGAGTCATATGTTTCACCTTGTGAACCCGATCCAATATATTGGCCTCGTAGCCCAGCCTTTGACTTTCGTCAATGGCTGCAAATCGATCAGAGCCAACCAAGACTCTCTTGGCAGCGGGGCGGCCTCGCTCGAGAATCAAAGAGAAGTTCTGAAACGAGAGGGGTAGACGCCGAATGCGAGTCTTCACAGGAATCTTGCGAGCTAACTTCACGGAGTCATGAAAGCCAACCATAATCTGTCATAGGCGAAGTTAGTAACGATCATGGAAATGATGGTGGTACCGAATACTCACGTTGGACATATCAACAAAAATATGGATGGGACGAGACGCCTGACTGTTCGGTTTACTGCTTGGAGACCGGCCAACTTGAGCCACGGCTTCCGCGTACTCGGGAAATTTCTTTAGGAGTTTGGTAAGAAGGCCAACTCTTCGGTCTGCAGCCGATTTATACGCAATGGGCTGCACACGAATAGGACCAGTAGGCAAGCTCTTGATAGTTTCAGCTGTCAGGGACCCTTCCAGCTCATCAAAAGAGGATGGCGGAGTGTCGCACGGCTCAGCATTGGACGCCGGCGTGCAGACTTGAGAGGGAATGAAAGACACGGCACCCCGATTTTTCAACAAGGGTGGGTCAAAGACAGTGAAGTTGCCGTCGGACTCTGCTTCCGCACTACTCTCCGACGAGCTAACATCAGAAACTTTCGATTGAGGGTTCTGACAAGCTGCGCTGTTTCCTGCTACAGCTCTCTTTTTAAGAAGTTGAGCTTCAGAGGCATTTGAACTAAGGATCGGCCTAGGGGCAGCCCGAGACGTATGTTCGATAGTATGTTCGGCAGATTTTGCTGTGGCTATAGGTCTCTTGAGGATCTGAATAGGCTTGCATTTCTGAGGCTGTTCAGCACAAGTAGCCCTAGGAGGCTGAGACTCTTCTGTCTTCACGCCTGGGGAACTACCGCGGCCAAGGAGATCCCAGAGAGAGCCAAAATCACCTAGCCTCGGATAGCTACCGCTCGAATCGTTGGCAGTTTTCTTGGTGTCGTCTTTCTCGAAGGTAGCAGACAAATTGGTGTGGCCAACCACATGGGATTGCTCACGCCCGTTGTACGCAGGTGAATGTAGCAGATTCAACACCGGAGTGAAGTCCCAGTTCGAAGCTGTCTCAGCAGACGATGGCATTGACAACTAACGCGATGTTTTGAGTTGATATGTATCGTTAAGAGTTGTGGAAGTGTCAAGGCGCTTGATAATGCGGGGTCACGAGGAATCACAAAGAACGATAAGCCAAACTGGAGCGACAATAAGATCAGAAATGACTAGAGATGACAAGATGATAAAGAAAAACAAGATGTAAAGGTGGAACAGATCACCATGGTCGTCGATACAATCGCACAAGACAACGTTGCTGCCAGAAGCATTGAAGGAAACGTAGATAATGGAGAAGGGCAGATCGGGCATACACCACATGATGACCCTTGCTGATGACTCGATGGGTGGCGATTATTCTGTCAGTTCCCACCGCCTTCTCTATCGCCTCAATCAAAAGCTCTTTTCCATAAACGGTATAGCCTTTCCGGAGGCCGCAATGACAGATAACCCGGTGCAAACATTGCTGCAAACGGCCAAGAATCTTGCTAACCATATATGGCTAGCCGTTAATCATCCGGACGTCATAGATATGGTTCAACCATATTACCGGCTCTGATGGTTGTGGCTTAAGATTCAACGTCAGAGCTTCCAAGCCTCATGATGGCCGCGCAAGAGTCAGGGACATTTTTCGTAATTGTGACGTTTGATGAATCATATGTCATGTCCGAGGCACAGGGCTCGGTGACGGCCAGTTGCGGGGTATCTATGGGTCTTTCCAAGCACTTGTGAATCATGATAGAGTGTGGTACCTGGGCTAGTCGCAATTCTGGTTACGGATATCGCAAGATACAGGTTGCTCAAACGACGTCATTGAAGCTATCAAGTTTCAGGGGTCCAGAAATGGCGGGCAGAGAAAGATATAAAGGTCTCGTTCGACCAGTGTAGAGCTCCTTCATCATCAACAACAATCAACAACATTCCAAACAATCCACAAGCAAGCAAACACTTTTCGAATTTCAAACAATCTTACTTTCTCCTTATCAAACCATCTTCAAAATGTCTGACGCCGGTCGCAAGGATTTCTCTACCAGTATGTGATATGCACTCATACCGTGCAACCATTGTACAGTACACTAACAGATGTGCAGAGGCCAAGGAGGAGATCACTCCTGACTCCACCAAGTCCACCCAGCAGAAGGTCAAGGAGAGCGTTACTGACACCGGCGACCGTGTCGCTCGTGGTCTGCAGACCGACGGGAGCAAGTCCGGCCCTCAGGAGGCTTTCGACAAGACTCAGCGTTCCCATGACAACCACGCCCACGGCGGTGCCAGCGGATCCATGTGAGTATTCTCCGAACAGACCTAGTCTTTGCAGCAAGTTCTGACTTGTCTTCGTGCAGCGGTGACAAGGTCAAGAACGCCGTCGGCCTTGGCAACCACTAGATATGCTGTGTTGGAAGCGAACGGATAGCTTGCGGCAGCTTGATATCATGATTCCATTATGAGTTCACGATACCACTTCGGAAACCATGTCTTCATACCCTCTGTCATTATTAGTTACGAATGATATGTCTCCCATGATTGAAAGTCGCTCACATGCGCGCCTCTATTCGTAGTTCATCTCTTCTCCACTAAACTCTCAAACATCGAGTCCCGTCGCTCAATGAGCTGGTTCAATTCTCGCTCGAGCTGCCTGTACTGTGCCCGGGCGCCCTGAATGTCCTTCGGCAGATCATGGAACATTTTTAATCGGTGGTCCAAACTCTGGATAATGTCTTCGAGTTGGCTTATTTGCGTCTCTTCTATGACCAAGTCTTCAATCGTAGGACCTTTGCTGCTGTTTCTTCCCAGAGTTGCTAACCTATCTTGGTATTCACTAAGTTTTCCAGTGAGAATTTTGGTATTCCTCGACCACTCAGCGGTCTGAGCTGGGAGGTCTGCAGGTACTTCGAATGCAGGATCGGACTTGAGTTGATCAAGTCGTTCCTGTAGAGCGGCCACTTCTCTTTCCAGATGTTTTTGTAGCATGTCAATCTTAGAGATTTCCTCCTGAGCATCAAATTCCTCTACCGTGAGCTCAATGATCGACTGACCAAGGTCTTTGGTCCGTGTGCGTAGAGCCCCCAGGACAGCAGTCGTCTCCGCCAAATCGTCGAGGTCTCGTTTTCCATTCTCACCGAGACAAAGCTCCAGCTCATCCAGCAGTTCTTTCTTCTGTTTATCCCCAGCTTCCTCCCGCGCTTTGAACTCCCGAATCGCTTCCTCGCGCGCACGGTGGAGCAATGCGGCCTCTTCGTCCGCTGCGTCGTTAGCAGCAGCAAGAGCTAAAAGTGTACGCAAAGTGTCTTCATTCCGTTCAAAATTCGGTACCGGATTCGGTGAGTATTGGCGACTTAGCCAGGAATTCACATATGCCCAGTCTTTGGCCTGAATGGCTGCTTGACGTGCCTTTGCGGGGGAAAGGAGCGGGCTGTCCATCGCGAGTGCGGTCCAACTAAACTCCTGACTGGTATGAAGAGAAGCAAAATTGTAAACCGGAATACAGCGAGCAATTCCCGCGGGTAATTGAGCTTTATCAATTATGCCACCGGCATTTCCATAGAATCGGCTCAAGATGGCTTTGCGATGGTTGATGTGAACTGAAATCGGGGACCGGGGATTGTTGTGATTCCGACTCCCCGCCTTCGCTGTAGTGACCTCCTGAGAACATCATCCCCCGACAGCTCGCCCGTCTGACCATTAGTCGGATAGCCCACCATGGAAAGCTACTTTCCTCCGGGAGCTACAGCTAACCACTCGTCCATACGTGCTCCTTCCCCAGCCTCCACTCCGTTATCGCCGCCTACACAGCGATCGAATGCCTTGTCAAACCGACTGACAAGTGTACTGTCGGCCTCCTACGCGGATTCCGATATACGCGATGCGCTGGAGACGCTCAGTCTTCGGGGCGTACACAACACTGCGGAGACACGAAGGCAGCTGCGCTTAGATGTGCAAAAAGAAGTGGTGGAATGCAATGCAGAAATCGTGCGGGATTTCGGCAAGGTTGCGGAGGTGAGCTGTTTCGCATCTTGGGCGGCACAAGAGCGGCATTTGAGACGGGTAGCTAATATAGCACAAAATGGTAGCAATTGCAAAGGATCGGGACCGTGATCTCAAGCCTGAATCAAACGTGTGAAGAAATGCGGCAGCACATTGTCCGAGCCAAACAGGACACGGCACCAGTCATCGAGGAAGCATCTGCACTGATGAACCAGAAGAAGGAATCGGAGACAAAACAACAACTTCTCGATGCATTCGTGAAGCACTTCGTCGTCTCAGACGATGATCTACTTGTTCTCACATCGGCAGAGGAACCAATTGAAGACCGCTTTTTCGATGTTCTTGACCGGGTAAAACAGGTGCACCATGATTGCGAAGTCCTACTAGGAGGGGAGAATCAAAGGCTGGGCCTGGAATTGATGGAGAAGAGCTCCAGGAATCTGAATTCCGCATACCAGAAACTCTTCAGATGGACACAGAAGGAGTTTAAGTCGCTAAATCTCGAAGATCCGCGAATCAGCAGTTCAATCAGGCGCGCTTTGCGCGTCCTTGCCGAGCGACCGAGCCTCTTTCATAGCTGCTTGGACTTCTTCGCCGACGCACGGGATTATGTCCTGTCCGACGCCTTTCACTATGCCCTAACCGATGCCGTCTCCGGCACCGGGGGGGACCGCAACGTGAAACCGATTGAGTTTTCTGCTCATGACCCTTTGCGGTATGTCGGCGATATGCTGGCATGGGTCCACTCTACGACTGTATCCGAGAGAGAGGCTTTGGAAGCTTTGTTCGTGGCAGATGGAGAGGAAATCGCCAAAGGGATCCAGGCTGGCCTGAGCAGCGAACCCTGGTCTCGTATTGATGAGGGAGAAGAGGTTTCCTTTGATGGTCAGAAAGCCCTTAGCGACCTCGTGAATCGTGATCTAGTCGGAGTGTCTCGAGCTTTACGGCAGCGCGTTGAATTGGTGATCCAGGGCCACGATGAGCCTGTAACTTGCTACAGAGTTGTTCACTTGCTTTCGTTCTATCGAGCAACATTTTCCCGACTACTGGGAACGAAATCCAATTTGGCGGACATGATGCAGACACTAGAGAACTTCACATTCGCCCGCTTCGAAAGTATCATGCGCGAGCAAGTCAATATACTCTCTAACGATCATTCTGCCTTGGCTCCACCGGACGACCTTTCCGCACCCGAGTTCTTCCTTGATGCCTTGGAAGAACTGACCTCCCTCATGAAGACCCATGACGCTTCACTCGGGGCAGAAGATGCGAAAACCGAAATCACAGCGGATAATAAATTCACCCCCGTCCTCCGTGTCGCGTTTGACCCTTTCCTGGAACTGGCCAAATCTTCAGCGGCCGAGCTCCCTGACGGAACAGCCCGAGCTATCTACACCACCAACGTTCTCCTAACGGCGCGCTCATCGATCTCTGCCTTTTCATTCGCAAGTGCAACACATCTAAATCCTATCTCTACAGCACTATCTAGCCTGCGGATGGAATTGCTTGAAATCCAACACCGCTATCTACTCGATGCTTCTGGCCTAGGCATCTTGTTGGCTGCCCTCGAGCCTTTCTCGCCATCCTCAACAACTCGAAAACCAGAATCCCAAGAAAAAGATGGCCAAGCGCCACCGCAGGCTGATAAGCAACCCACGGACATCGCCGAGATAGCTGACCTTCCCGCCTTCCAGCCAGAAGCCCTCATCGCCGTCAGCCAACAACTTGATGACTTCCTTCCCTCGGCCCTGATGGATGCTACGGATAATTTGAAGCACCTGCAGAGCGCCAGTTTCGTTCAGAGTGTTACGGAAGAAGCGGTCGAGGCTTTCTGCCGCGATTTTGAATTTGTGGAGGGCATGATTATCGGCGCGGACGAAGCTAGAGGTAGAGTCGACATTAAACGGACGGAGGATGGCAGTGACGCTGGTGTTGATGATGAGGTTGTCACTGAGAGCGGAAAGGTACCTGATGGTGACGAGCAGGAATCGGGACTTAGGAGGCTCTTCCCTCGTACTACGGGCGAGATCCGGGTGTTGCTGAGCTGATATCACACCATGAGACTGCTCTAGTCATGCATTATGGCGGTAAAGTTGTGTACATAGGTCCTTCATCTAGATATTTATCTGCTGGAACCTAGTTCTTGATGATTTTTGCTTTGTGCCTCTAATAGTGCTAAGGGCACATTACACCGGCGCAATATATATACTTCATAGCGATGTAAAAAGTGATTACGCCCGTCGGATCATAATACCGTAAGGGTCTCGATCGCGTTCACTTACGTCGACAGCACAACTAGGGTCCTTGTAGACCTCCTCATAACTCCCAATCACGCTTGCCCCTCCTTCCTTAAAAGTCTCCTCCAAAGCCTTCAGCCCTTCTTCGCGTTGGGTCTCCCATTCCTCCTTGAGGGTAGCTGCTAACTTCTGACGCATGACAGCATGCAAGTACCCCCTTTCTGTATTAGAATGGGCGAGCGCAATGACAACTGAGCCACGCTCAATGGCCGACAGCGCTTCATGGTGACTCAACTCGCCTGTGAACAGAAGATCTGGCAGGCTGCTAGAACTCATAAGGATACTAGATCCAGATCCCGGGCAGATACCGATGGTGCGGATCTTAATTAGATCGACCGGGACAGTCTGTGGGATCGCGATCGGGATACCGCCAGGGTGCCCGACGCCTTGTGCTATGCGGTCGACGATGGTGGTCAGAGGCTGGGGTGTCTCGAAGGTGACGAGACGGCCCATACCAGCTGATTCCATACCTTCAGGCACTGGGGTTGGTGATGGATGGATCGTGCTTCGGGTGTGGGGGGCTGAGGAGGAGGGGGAGATGGATGCTGGCCGAGGTTGGGGATAAGTTGGCTGGGAGTAGTGCTGGGAGGAGGACGCAGAGGGAGAGGGAGAAGCGTCGGTAGATGGAGCAATTGCGCCGGTAACGACGTCGCAAAGCCAGTCTGCCATTCCACCGGGGGTAGCGTCCACAGCTGTATGCGGCGAGTACACGCTGATGCCCTCCGAGGCGAGCCGCAGCAGTGTCTGTTGCTGTGTGTCATTGAGAGTGAGGGACTTCAGTCCTCGAAAGATGATGGGGTCTTCGTCGCGAAAAAGTTGGTTAGCAAATACGCTGGTAGCCAGCAGACGATGTCGGCACAATGCATACGGTAGGCCACAACCACTGAATCCTTCCGCTTGATAGCCTCATCTGCCACAGCCTTTGTGAGGTCAATGGTCAGAAGCGCAGAATTCTTCTGCCGCCGAGCGGGATGGAAGGGAGCTTCAAGAAGCACTGGGTGAGAATTGTATGAGCACTTGGAACACTATGGCATAATACAGGTAATCTCACAGCCAGTGTTGTCAAAGCTCTTGTCTGCTAATGACTCCGGATAGCTGTAGCAGAGTTAGCAAAAAGCAATTGAGAAGAGACCGCCAGTGATGGTAGGATGAAGTAAGGTGAAGGCATACAGCTTCTTCATAGAGCTCACAACGGCCCGAGTGAAAGGTGACGAGGTGGTTGACATTGTTGAGAGCCGGCGCAGTGCTACTCGTGACAGAGAACTCATGAAAGGTTGCGATAATACTCAGCAAGTGATGTTGTGCAACAGCATATGTAGGTATGTCTGAAAAAGATAATCATAGCAGCAGCGATAAGAGAGGGGATAGCTTGCGCCACGCTGATAGATACTACATCAGCCACAGCATGCAGGTGATCAGATAAAACCCAGCATACAGACTAGTCAAGCCACATACTGTAATTTACGCCGTCACACATTCCCGACCGGATCCATGAGTTACGGATTCCGTCATTCATCTTCCGTGGATTGATAATATCTGATCGACTACTTCAGTATCACTTATCGGTTTTTCTGAGCTGTTTGCTAAATCTATTAGTTACGCATCACCGCCTTGGCTTGCGCATCAAAGGAAGACCCTCGCTGACTCCTCTGTTACTTAAAAGCCTGACAGCCACGCTTGATGTACTCCCGTACCACCACTTGGTTAAGCAGAAGCTGCCGGTACCTTCTCCGCACCCCCATTCGCCAGAATTCGCCCTTTTCGATTACTGCACGCTCCTTCGCGGCTATCAACGCAGCAATGGCGGACGCAACGTCAAGTGTGACACCAGAGCTACTGAAGAGTAAACTGGTTGAACAACTTCAGGCACAGGTTGTGGAGATTGAGGATTTGTCTGGTGTGTAAAATCTGCGACGCTGGCCTGCAGTATGGATATACTTGACTGAGGGGTGTCTAACTTCTTTTTTCTCCTGTCATAGGTGGCTGCGGACAGGCTTTCCAGGCGATTATTGTTTCTCCGCAGTTTGAGAAGAAGAACATGCTTGCGCGCCATCGGTTGGTGAACTCGGTCTTGAAGTCTGAGATTGCTGCTATCCACGCCTGGACACCCAAGTGTTACACCCCCGAGCAATGGCAGGCCCTGCAGCAAGGAAGCGCTTGAATCGGCAATATACCAAGATTATGACTACGTCGCTTGGGCTACGGGCGAGTTAGGTCGATTGAAACGTTGTATATTCCAGATGCTTTTATCGCATTTTGCTATCGAACAATCAGGCGCTATGGGATACATCGCCTCTGACTATAGACTACATAATGGGGATTACCATCCTACCATCAGCAGGATAACACAAATCACAGTATGAATTTCTTGATACCTACGTTTAGCCCAACACCTTCTCTGCCGCCGAGACTACATTCCATGTGTTAGTAGATTTTCTGGCAGCCAAGAAAATAGTAGGAACTATGCATACCGTTGACACCGGTGTTATCGGGCTCGATATAAGCCTCCTTAACCTTTCCATCCTCAACGACAAGCGCATAGCGCTTGCTTCTGTGGTTCCCAAAGATTGAGCTGCTGTCGAAGGTGACGTCGAGCGCCTCCGAAAACTTGCCGGTCGGGTCGCCCAGAAAGCGGATCTATCTCCTTTTTAGCGTCCATTGATTTGTAGATTCGCAGTGTTGTGGGGAAGGCTTACACCACTCTTGCCGGTGGCATCAAGGGAAACGCCCCAGGCCTTCATCCTATTATGACTCGGTAAGCTGCGGTCACTGAAACCTCAGGCATTTGGAGGCTCCTTAACGATCAACCATCGGCGACTTACACAAAGGGGTCATTGACCGAGACCACGAAGACCTGGCCGGCTTCCTTGAGCTTGGGGTGGTTGATATATCCAGGCACGTGAGAGCTAGAGCAAGCGGGGCCTTTTATTTCGAGTCAATTAGCATTTGTCTTTTTCTGTCATTGATGTCACGTCGGATGGGAGGCTTATGAGACGGAGGGCTTCAAGGCTGGGGGCCGCGAACGTACTGAAAGCAGCAGGGACACCGACAATAACCCCCTTTCCCTTGAGCTCCTTCGCAAGATTGATTTTGTTTCCAGGTGAACTCTCGACCAGCACGTCAAGATCTGGAATGGCGTCTCCCTTTTGGACGAAGGCTGGCGCGGTGCTGTGAAACAGCGCCCTCCGGGGCATGGCGCGAGGGGCGCTGGTAGCGAGGCGACGGACAGCGAACATCTTTATGAGAAGACGAATTGTTGAGCTCAAAGTGTACTTAGCAGCGGCTATGAAATATGTAAATATGCCAATTCAATTGACAGATAATGGTCCCCGAGGAAGAGGATGAAGTGATGGATGCGTAGGAAGGTTTGTGTACATTGCGCGTCGTTGGGGCTAGAGAGCACGGCCAGAGCTCTTCACTCGGGACGTATTTCGTCATAGTCTCCTCTCTGTTGGCATGGCAGCATGGGGAGCCATGTTAAGTTCTCCATCAGCACTTTGTTCGATACAAATGTAATCGGCAACTGTCACAGATATTGCAGTGCATCTGCATGCCTTTTCCTACTACTGTATAGTCAAGTGAGGAGATTTTGGCGGTTCCAGGGCTCTAGAATAATGTACAGTCATGACGAGCCTAGGCCTGCAATTCATTCCATTATGACATAACCTGATCTAATTTCTATCTTGGATACAGACCGATAAGTCGACTGGCTGCCATGGAGTAGCTCAATAATAATTGATACTCTGAATTGAGTGGTTGGTGCAAGGGGTACTTAGTAACTAAGTGTTGACAGTTGAGGAGGAACTGACTTCTTGGCTTGTATTTTCCATTTGATTAAGTCAAGAGTTCAACAACAGTCAGTGGGGCAGCTTTTGAATGAAAGGGATTCAGACCTCTGACCATACTCATTAGTATCTACTTCTTCAAATTGGTCTCCCTGAATGCAAACTATCTTGGTATTAGGGCGATCTGTTGATGTGGCGCACAGCTCCCTGAAAGCCGGGTCTGACCGAACCTCATCAGTCATATGTATAAAATTCTCAACACTGTCCACAATAAAGGGACATCAGAAGATATGTAAGAATCATAAGAGTACTCCTAAAACAAACTAAAGGCGAACATTCCAAGGGCTCTTGGACATTTCATCTCTCCTGCCGCCAAAGCCATCTCCATATCGGTTGTTCCCACCCCATCCACGTTCCGCGAGGGATCTGCATGAAACCAGCAATCTCCAAAACTATTCATTTTTCATTAAAAGCTGAACAAATATTGGTGCGGGTAGAATATCCGCTATGTGTCTAATCCGCGACAGTTTGACTGGAGTATGAATCCACCTGCCTTATGATACCCTGTGGGACTCTACATAGCTCCTGGGGTCTTTTCACCTTCATACTTTCGTAGACCACAAGAAAACTATCTGCAGCAAGTTGCGATCAATCGTTTAATGACTGAATAAGGACAAGACTATCTAATATCTGATTGACCGTTTCCTCATATTGTCGAAGAGCGTCAGGACCCAAGAGCTAGGACGATCATAATGCATTAGGCTTCCCCTCCACCGTCATCATCCGCCTATCCTCATCAATACTCCAGGGTCCTAACGTCTTCCCCTCCATTGTTGTTGCTTTCTGTCTGCATCTAAATGCGCACTGACAATACTAACTTCCATGATTCTTGCATATTGTAGAGCGATAGTCACGTTGGGTTTCAAAATAATACTGCGCAAGACACACAGTATCTAATAAATAATATCAAGTTAGCAACTCACCGGCTTCATAATTGAAAATGTTATGCTGCTTTGCATAAGCATGTGCGCTGTTTCTTCCTTCACTGTGAATTTCTGATTTTTCATACCTGATTTTGGGCATTTTCCCCCTTCCTCAATACCAACTAAGTAGATACCTCTTGGGTCCCACTGTTATTCCCAAGGACCGCTAGTATGATATTTCTTGCCCTCTCCGTTCTTATCCCCTCATTTCTCCTCTCCTTGCATTTATCAGTTTTAGGGAAAAGGGAATCCTAAATGGACAGTTCACCGATCAGGTTGCGTTCTACCTATTAATCAGAAGTGAACATCATATAATCAGGACTTACTAGTCTACTAGTTAGAATGAAAGACCGTCAAAAAAGTGGTTCCCACAGCTCTTTGTGCACGAACCGCGGAAGAACAGTTATTCAACTGCAACAATTCAGCTAATCGTCCCACTTATCACCACGAACCAACTAATCAATTTATTCCTACCTAAAACTACTGCTGCTGCTAAATGCTAACACCACCACCTTTTTCAACTACTATTCGACTACCTTGACCTCTACCAATTTCCTGAACAATTTCTCCTTCTTTCACTTCTCTATTATTCCCCAGCGGCACCTTTTCTATCCGCATCTCGGCGCACATTATAGCGCGATCTTTATTATCTCCCGCCCGTTCTTCTCAAAGAGCTGCGACTTGGTGAGCTTGTTGCTTGTTCGATCGGTCGCGACCCATCTAGCCCACGATGGAGGGTGGCCAGACCACGACCAACAACGCCCCCGCTGGTAACTCCAGCGATTTTGTAAGTGTTGACCCTGGAAAGACGGAGATTTTCTTTTTAGGAAATATTTGAGCTGCATGATAATTATCTCTGCTGTTCCGAGGCTAACAAGATGTACTGCAGGTGCGGAAACTGTACAAGTGAGTTCTCCTTTTTCGATTCTTCTGGGGGAAAATCTAGTGCCCTCTGCCTTGGCTTTGTCGTCCCCCTCCCTTTGTCTCGACTCCGACCGGTTAATCGCCAGGATGGGTCGCATGCCTTGTGGAATGTCTCTAACTGGTTCATTTGTTGCACAAGAATGTTGGAAGACCCTTCGTACTCGGAAATAGTTCGCTGGGGAGACGAAGGGGATAGTTTCGTTGTTCTCGAGGTCGGTTGCTTCCTCCGCTTGTTCCCGTACGATCCGTCGGTGTGTCCGCTGTCCAAGCTGACCGTGTTGCCTTATCGCAGTGCGAGAAGTTCACCAAGACCATCCTTCCGAAACACTTCAAACATAGCAACTTTGCCAGTTTTGTGCGGCAGTTGAATAAATACGACTTCCATAAGGTCCGACAAAACAACGAAGAAAACGGACAATCGCCTTATGGACAAAACGTAAGACTTCGTCGCTCGATTCAAGCGGACAAATTCTAACGACAGATAGGCATGGGAATTCAAACACCCGGAATTCAGAGCGAACAGCAAGGAATCGCTTGATAATATCCGACGAAAGGCGCCGGCGCCTCGAAAGCAGACTCAGAACACCGACGACTCAGTTCCGACACAACAGATCGATCTTCTGAACCAGCAGATCGTAGCGCAGCAGCAGCAGATCCAGCACCTTTCCGATCGATACGCGCAGTTGACTGTTGATCATCAGCTCATGTTGCAGGAGCTGATGAGGGTTCAGAAGACGGTTCTGAACCATGAAAATGTCATTCACCAGGTGATGAATTATTTGCTGTCAGTAGATGCTCGCCAAAGGCGCGATAACAAGGCGGCAGCAACCTTCCAAGCTCAAGGGCAAGGCGGTTCAAACGTGAATGGGGGACAGGTAGACGATGTGCCTTCCTCTCCCTTGCAGCACGCATCGAAGCTACTGAGTAACATGAACGCCGAGGTTCAATTCAATTTGGCTGGCATTGAGTCCGTGGGCGAACCCTCGAAATCCGGCCCTGTTGTTTCCACCCCTGCACTAGAGGCTGGGCCGCGGAATGGGGTAGTGCGCCCGCCTACAGCGGCAGGTGCAAATCCCACCAACCTCTTATATCCAAAGATGAACGGCGACATTGAGCCAGTTGTCTACCCTGTTGGTGCTACCAATGGAATTGATCCGATGTACAGTGAGCATGTGAACAATTTGCCATATCCTATGCCTCCAAAACAGGAAGTAGACGACACTCGCCGACAAGTTCCTGACAATCGAAAGAAGAGCACAAATGTCGATCCTGGATGGGTACGCAGCCCACACATTTTACTGGTGGAAGATGATGCAACATGTCGCCAAATTGGTGGTAAATTTCTCTATTCTTTCTCTTGTGTTATTGACACGGCGGTCGGTTCTCCTTTCTTCCCGTATGGATGCAAAGCAACTGACGGTCTTACAGTTTGACGGACTGGAAGCGGTGAATAAGATTCAGGATGGATCGAAATACGACCTGATTCTGATGGATATCATCATGCCAAATCTTGATGGGGTTTCTGCATGTCACCTTATACGCCAATTTGACCGCACTCCTATCATCGCTATGACCTCCAACATTAGAAGCGATGATATTCAGCTCTACTTCCAACATGGTACATAGACCTTTCAATCCCGAGGACTCTGACGTTTTGTTACTAACGCGCACTAGGCATGGACGATGTGCTGCCGAAGCCTTTCACGCGGAAGAGCCTCTTGGACATGCTTGAGAAGCATTTGGTTCATTTGAAGACCATTCCGCAAGGCATGGAGACATCGCAACCCACAGCAACAGTCACAATGGCTGCTCAAACTTCGGCAACCCACTCTGTCAAGGAAGACAGCTCCCCTGGCCAATCACCTGCCCCGTCAATGAATAATTGGCAGTCTCCTGGCCAGTTCCAAGGCCTCCTTCAACAGGTTCAACCCCAGTATGTTCCTGCGACCGCGGCCCCAGCCGCCTACGCTGTGGACCAGAATGGAGTGCAATACCCGGCGCCTCCAGTGGCACTCACTGCGGCGGCGCGACCGCCTCAGCGACGGCAGATATCCGAACTGTCTGGCGCCGCGGATAATTCTAATTTCGCGAAGCGACCGCGCATGTACGCTCAACCATCACAGCCGATGGTCAATCCGGCTCAGGCTACCCGAACTGGCTAAGCTGATAACCGTCGGTCACTTTAATGAACGCTTCTCGGTCTATGCCAACTTTATCTCACCTCCGCTCTTCTCACCTCTGCCTCAATCACACAACGGATTCTTCTCCGCTTCCTGCGCAATATATCGTAAATGTTGCTCTTGTATTGACGATCTTTCCCTCGGTATTTCTGCTTTTTTGGTGTCCTTTGTCAATTGGCGACTACGGCGTTTGCGGTCTTCAGGTCCTTTGCATTGATTGCAAAACACTATAATAGGCGTATCCATTCACCATTGCGTACTGATTCGACGAAAGGGAGTGGAATGGTCCTTTTCCTTTGCAAGCGATGCATCAAATCACTGTCGGAGCTCTTACGGAGGTGGAAGATGAGGGGCGCTGTGTAGC